GAAGAACCTATTTCTGGGATACCGCAGTCCCATGTGGATCAGAAAATAGCCACAATGTAGTACAACTAAACCCTGATGAAAATAAATATTATCTTCTCACTCCATATCCCACATTAATGCAATCACTCAAAAAATTTTCACCAGAAAGCATTCGCGCTATCGCTCGAAACCCAAATATAGACTTACAATCAATAGGAATCTATTCAAAATCAGATATTCAACATCACATTAGAACACAACAATTCCAAGAATTATTAACACAAATGGACACTATACAAAGACAATCAATTGACCAAAATCTACGCAAACTTGCAGAAACCGCAGGTTTTGCCGATATCTACACACAAGACTATAGCGGATATTTTAAAGACATTAAAGATTATATATATCTAAACGGCGAAAAATACCGTCCCCAAGATATATCACCAATTAACATTTTTAGCTTTGTTACACTCAAAAATGAGATCCTCGATTTTCTAGGATGGCCCTACTACATCTTAGAAAAATTGACTATTTTATACGCAATGTTTAACTTTATTGGATTTCTTTTCTCACTCTTAAAAGGAATCTACAATACATGTGCTATACACACACAAGTAAACAGACAAGCAAGCGTAGCACGCATACTCTTTGCAGGATTTTTTGGAATCTTTTCCACATCTATAAACAAAATTCTTTTAGACGCACAAATAAAAGAATATAACACAAAAATAACAACACGACAAAATACATACGACGAAGAACATAACAATGTCGACACACAGCCAACGGCACCACAACTACCACCCCTACCAAATAACCATCCACTATCCCTAGTCCCACGAAATTTTCGAAATTTAGCAATCACACATAATCCAAATTTTCGACTCAATACATCGCAAAGTCCCGTCCAACATATAATGACACATCAATCACAAGATGATAATACTTATGAACAAATTATTGAACAGCCCCATACCACCGCTTTTCAATCTCAAAATAATCATTTTTTTAGCCCACGATGAGCCGCCAACTTGGATCACTACACCGATCAAATTCCCATCCAACCAATCTTACCTCTCAAATCCCAATCATACCACTTTTTGCTTTTCCGCCACCTGATTTTCCATCTAGCAATGTAACATCAGGCATGAATTCCGACACTAACTCACATATTTCAGTTTCATACTCCATCTCACAGCTAAATAACCCGAATATTGAAACCCCCGATGAATTTGCCGACTCAGAACCGTCCCCATCCAATAATTTTCATAACCCCTCTAATTTTTCTCAACCCCCTTTTCAACCCATATTATCCACTAACCCTGATCCCATCACTCCCACACCCTCTTATGCTTCCCAAGTTACCCCAACCTACTCCTCATACCATTCTGACCAATCATCTCATTCTCCAGACACCCCCCGAATCTCCCCAGAGCTAGATAATTTTATTACCCTCCAACAACAATCCTACCACCTTAACACCCCGACCATAAACCAAATCTCCTCCACTACAGATTCATCCAATCCCCCTACACCCTCTACAAATTATACTGAATCATTAACACCATCATCCACATCCACTATATCTTCACTAAACACAAATAGAGCTTACCGCACTTTTAAAAGAAAATTCCCCAACCATCCTTTCCCAGCAAAACCAGGAACAGCCCGCGAATACATCAACCACCCCCAGCATACTAACACTAAAGAATTTTTAGCTATCACTCTACCCTCATTTCCACAATACACCTTAAACACCCCTCACGACGCTAACGAAACACGCAACTTTGTAGATGAATACGTTTTAATGCCCACTCTCTCTTGGACCTCATACTATCATTTCACTAACCCTCTTTGTTTACCTTTATCCAGCACTTCCATCGATATAGAACGAAACAAAGACATGCTATATCGACTAACTACACCACTAACCGCTAGACAGTTTACTTACGTTGGATACAAAAAATCACTAAAAATACACACTGCACCTAGAGCTAATGAATATACACTAGAATACTACGATCACAACATCATCAGAGCTAACCAAGATCAATTCTTAGACGAAGATCGCTTCGCTAACCCACAAATCACCGAGAAATTTTTCATCAAGACACCATATGTATTTACACTAAACATCTTCGACCGAAAGTTTGATCACATTATTTCAGAAGCACTAACAAACACACAAGCATACGAAAGTTTTAAAGAACGCTTCCAAATCTTTTCACTAACCTTTCATTTCCTTGCACCACACGAAAGAGATTTGCACTGCTCACATGATATTATGTTGCGCACTAAACAAACACATACATACAGTTACTATCGTTTCATCCAAAATCACTTTGACCTCCACACACCCTCTAGACAACCACACCATCGTTTTCAATTCATCAATTCAAAATACACTTCACCGTATTTCCTAAATTTCACATATTGTATTAAAGACACTAACCTCCATGGTATTCTTCGTAATTATGACCCCATAACCCAAATGTACATTTTCTGCCCCATCACCAAGACCTTCAACGCCGAAGAATCCCGACCCTTCCTTATCCCGCACGAGTTCCTACAACCTATAGAAATCCCAATTTTAGAATTCATCCACAACACTAAATTTAACCACAAATTATATAACTTAATCCAAAACACACCTTATGAGTTTGCAGTAGGCACTGAAGAACTAACCACTATTAAGGCACTTCAATTGCTTTGGCCACTGCTTCAAACTAAAAATATCATCCGCATTCTAGCTAAACTACTAACAACTTCAGAACTAATTCACGACATCTTCCCCCACGGTTTTTTCCCCGACGACTAACAGGTAAGTATGAATTAAATGAATATTACTAACTAATTAAAATATTGAAAAACTCACCATTCTTTATTCATGTTTTCTTTAGATTTTTAGCCTTCATCCTAGATCATCTGAAAAATTCACAAAAGAAAAATAGAAAAAATAGCAAACTTCTTCAAAACTGTTTAAGACCCTATTAAACTTTTGCACCAACAATTAAATAAATATAATACCAATGCAGTAAATTAATTTATAAAATTTTCCCCCAAAAAGCAGTAAATCTACATATGATGAAAATTTGTATCTTAAAATTCCCCCATAACTAGCAGTAAATTTCCAAATTCTATGCAGTAAATTAATAAAATGCAATTGCAGTACTAACCTTTTGATATTTTCATTCATTCGCACAGAAATTCTATCCACACTCGCACAGCTCGCCCACGACGAATTGTTTAAAATAATGAATTTCAGTTTCAAGTTTTCACACTCAACAACTCTAACATATGATAACATGTTTCAAACTTTCCTTTAACCCGGTTGGAAAGGAATCATATACTAAACAAAACTAACCAACGCAGCTTACTAAATACCACAAATCATAGAATAACAGCATGACTAAGAAAAGGAAACCAACGGTACCCAAACCGGATTAACCCAGTTTAAAACTGGATAATTTATTCTTTTGAAGACTATTACAAAGTCTTAGAAAGAAATAATAAAACACAAAAAAGTCGAAAGACAAACCCATACCACAAACAATTTGCTTTTTGGAAAAAGTACATAACCAACAAGACACAAGTAAGACCATAACAAACCCAACATAAAACGTTGTCACATAACAGGACCCCTCACAAAAACCGCATGAAATCATACTCCCACACCTGGCCTAACCCACCAGGAAGGACGTCCTGAGCATGCTCTATAGCCGGCCTAACCCACCGCGCTACATCCACGCTTTGTGACCACACCTTTATTTTTAATAAGAGCTACTCAAGGGTGAGTAACTCTTCAAAATAACCGAACTAAAACAAAAAAGCTTTTGTGAAAACAACTAACTAAAATCATTATTAAAAAATATTAAACTAATAAAAGTTTTATAAAATGTAAAATCACATGATGCAATATATAGATCAGAATACAACACCAAGGACGAACATCAAAAGACAAGACGACCCCACTACACTCGAGAGAGAATGACCAACTACAATCGATATGCCGCTCACAATCACAACTCAAAGGATTTAGAGTACGACTTGACCTCGCAGAAAAGGACTTCATTGAACCAGACCAATGACCACCTCGATGACCCAAGTGTACGTACAGATCCGAGTAACCAGGCATCCCCTCCACGCACAATCTCCACGCCATTCCCAAGCTAGATCAGACACAAAAGAAGTTCTCCACGAAGAACAGAAAAACCTGACATAGCCAACCATTCTGAAATCAGAATTGATTTTGTTGCAAAGACTCAGTCGTTGTCACAAGAAGAACACAACGTCTTATGTCTCTAACTCCAGCTTCCTGGAACTTCCTTAACAAAGAAGAAGCGGAAGAAAATTATGATGTTCGCCAAATACCAACGTCCATCATCCATCCTTGAATTACAGAACTGTTCTAAAAAACTCTGTAAAACCCGGATGGGTGGAACCTGATCTAAACTATATTTTATGATTGGATAAATTAAATGTTTTACCAATGTAAAGTATTTAATATTAACCAATCATGATCCATCTAACTAACAACCCACTTATTTGTAAGTGCTGAAGTTACTTGTAATTTCAGCACCAGAGAGATTTGAATTTAACTTAGAAATTAGTTGGACTCTCCCGAGCACTTCAGCAGCCGCAATAAACCAGTATACCCTAGATCTATTGAGCCTAGCAGAGACTAGTTAAACAACCTGAGACTAGATAGTATAAGAGTAAGATTAGGATCGGTATTAGACTAAGAAGTTGCACGAATCTATCCGGCCGAAAATAAGATAGCGTGACGAGCAGACGGTGTACCCTATCCGAAATTACTCTATGAGTTATACACCCCAGTCCTAACTCAAAATGTTTCATTCATATTAACAATGCTCATAAATTTGACCATCGGCGATGTTTATTATTGATTCATGGATTTCTCAAATTCTGATCAAAACTTTCGGTGACAAAAAAATAAATTCATTTTTCAGAAAATTTCTAAGCTAAGCAAAACTACTTTTTAAAACAGTAAATTCCACAATTTATTTAAAATATACTATACGCAAAAGACATATTCAAATTTCTTGATTTTAAGCACCAATAAATAAATCAAAGCATTGTCAAGCAATACGCTGATGAGTACAGTTAAATATAACAGTTCGTTCTCCATTCAAAGATGTGACGACCCCGTAGCTTTCAACGCGCATTTCAAATGGTCAACTATGCAATCCACAGTATCGCGGTTTGCATTGGGACCCATCAGGCCGATTCGCCACACTAGTCCCTTGGAAGGCCCCAAACCTCCAGACACCTCGAGAAGAAAATTGTCCATCAAGTAGTTTGTCACAGTTAGAGGGTTTACATGTGAGGGACATTTCACCGTTGTTACCGTGGGTAGTCTGAATTTGGGATCAGACACTAACAGCTCTAAGCCCATTTCCTTCAGCTTCGCATACAAATATGTGGCCGCATCCTGGTGTCTTCTCTGCGTTTCTATCAATCCTTCTTCGCACACAACTCCAATAGCTTCTCTTAGAGCATAGAAAGAGGAAATAGCTCCCGTGTAGTGATATCCTCTTGGACCGAATCCCTCTATATTCCAGTATTTAGCATTGTTAGCAAGGTCAAACAGATAAGAGGTGACAGGAGTTCTCCGCCGTTCATACTTCTGAACAGCATCTGCTCCAAACGAAACAAGAGCAGTTCCTGGAGGCGCTCCTGAAAGATTTGGTTGAATGAATCCGTTCAAAACATTGCCAACTGCCTAATTTAAAATATATATATATAATCCTGAAGCTCTTTGACTTTCAATAACTATTTATGATTGGCACGTTTCATATGAAAATATCATGTTACGCACCTTCGGTGCTTCATCAGATTAGTAAACATGAAAGCTGCTTATACATTAAAAAAAAGAAAAAAAAAACAACAAATTGAATGTATACGAAAAAGACCAACAATGCTTTTGATTTCATGAACGATGAAAATAATAATGGAGGTTCAAGCCTCCATAACAACTGAGTTCATGTCTTCGTAAACCCCAAAAAATAGGCGACAGGATACAACTGCACTTTTCATACTAATAAATTGAAACAATCAATTGCGAAACTATCAATTCATAAATGGGATTCATAATCCCTCGTAATTAATTTTAAAATATCAGGCTCTGTTTGTTCTTTCATCAATAGTAAATTCAATGAAAAAATTTGAGCAAACATATGAGAATGAGAGGCCTCATATGCATCCATTTGTAGTAACCTAACATCAACCCACCAAAGCGTCGACAATTTCAAAATTTGGAAAACGTTTATTTGAAAACAAACTTTTTTGAAAATTTTCTCAAGAAGATAGAAACGTCATTAATAAGAAAAAAGACGTTGAGAGGTCATAACTAGAGTCCAGACAAACATCCTGAGAACACCTTGAGAGCACCTCGCCATAGTGTTGAGTATTTAAAATTTTTTTGGATCTTAAATTTTTATAAAATTTTTGAAAAAGCATAAAAACAGCATGTCTCAGAAACTAAGATTACTTGTGCAATCAAACTTTGAAGCCAGATCAGCAACCTCTGAGAGTACCCAACGTTTCTTTTTAAAATTTTTTCTAAAAATTTTGAAAAAATAATGAAAAAAGTCATATCTCGAAATCCAAAAACATTTGAGCAGTCACCTTTGGAGGCAAAAATTTCAACCTTTCAAAGTACTTCGAAAGCACCTGACTACAGTGTTGGCAACTTCAATTTCTGTGGAAATTTTTTAATTTATTTTTTCAGAAAATTTCTGAAAGATTCACAAAAATGTCATATCTTGGAACATAAAAAGATTTGAGTAGTCACATTTAGATGCAAGATTTGCAACGACTGAGGATACCCTCACAGCCCCTCACACTATAGAGTTGCGAATTTCAGCAGGTTTTTTATACCTAAGTTACTTGAAACTTTAAAAAAAATCTTAATAACGTCATATCTCGGAAACTAAAAGGATTTGAGCACTCATATTTTGATGCAAGATTAAAACCCAGGCAGCACCCAATTTCATGGTTGCGAATTTCAAATCTTGTCAAGTATTCATAAAATTTCTCTTAAAACTTTTTAAAGAAAAAAGTGATAACTCGGAAACAAAAAGAATTCAAGCAGTCAATTTGTGAGGCAAGATTTGCAGCCCCTTAGAGTACCTTGACAGCACCCAACTACAGGGTTGAAAATTTCAACAACAGGGTTGAAATTCAGAATTTGTGGAACATTTTATATCTAAGTTTCCAGAAAATTTTCGAAAAAGTCGCAAGAATCTTCAAATCTCGTAATCTTCAAATCTCGGACTAATTTGCAACGCCTCGGGTAAGATTGACAGCATCCCAGTTTCGGGTTACTTAATTCAGACCTGACAAAGAACACAGAATTCCTGCTGGAAGATTGAAAAAAAACTAACCACTGCAATATACGATATAGCTTAAACTTGCTAGAACTCTTTCGTTAAACATGCAAAAATAATACGTTGAAAAAGCTTAAGCACGGCGAGATAGTGAAGCTATCATTTAAATACATAACTAGTGTGTAACACACCTCCAGTGCTTCGAATTTATGAGAACTCATTAAAAAACAGCAGACATTGAAATTAAGATCTAGAGCCTTTGAGTGCACTCTGACACTACTCAATAACAGGGTTCGTAATTTCAAATGTTGATAAATTTTTTCTATGAGTTTTTAAATTCAAAATTTGAAAAACCATTAAATTTTGTGAAGTTTTCGAGAAATTATAAATGGAAACTAAAAGCATTTCAGCAGACAAATTTGTACTCTAGATTTTAATCTCCTGAGAGTACTCTCACAGTAACCAACTGCAGGGTTAGGAATTTCGAAATTTGAGAACCATAAAAACGTCACAACTGGAAAACGACCTGACTGCGAAATTCGCAAGTTCTTCGAGTACTCTGGCAGACCCCAAGTAAAGGGTTGGGAATTTCAAAATTTGATACAAAACAAAATAAAATTAAGTTTCCGAATTTTTTTTGAAGAAAATCGCAAAACGTCGTATCTCGAAAACTATAAAGAATTGAGCAGTCATGTTTGGAGACAAGCTCAGCTACCTCTGAAAAAACGCTGACAGTCTCCTCCGCCTAGTAGAAGGAAGAGGTCTTCAAATTTCAATTGAAATTAAAAAAAATTAAACATGTTGAAAATTTTTTGAAAAAAAAATCACAAAAGACGTCATATCTCGAAAACTAAAAAACTGAGTAGTCACACTTGATGGCAAGATTTGCAACTCTTCAGTTCTCTGACAGCTACAAAAGGGTCGGGAATTTCAAATGAAAATTGAACTTAGGTTTTTTGGGATTTTTTTTAAAATCAGAACACACGTCATATATCGAAAACTACAAGGATTTGAGCAGTCACATTTGGAGGCAAGATTCGCAATCCCTGATAGTACTGTAACAGCACCCAGCTACAGGGTTGAAAATTTCAAGTTTGTGTAAAATATTTCAAAAGTTGAGTTTTCTGAAAAACTTGAAAAAATCACTAAAATCGTCTTATCTCGTACACTAAAATGATTTGGGCATTCTCAATTGGATACCATATTCGGATCCCTGGGGAACCTCCGCCAGCATCCCACTTTTGTGTTGCTAACTTTTAACTCGGTGGAACAAACACTAAATTCAAACTGGAAAATCGAAAATTCTTACGCATTGCAATATACGATATAGCTTAACCACGCATAGATACGTTATGCCTTTAACTATTGCAAAAAAACGCTTAAATATGGCAAGATACGTCTCACATGCATTTAAAAATAGTATCGATAGATAGATAGATAAATAGATAGATAATAGATTAACCCAAGGTGAGAAAAATCGATCAAATGGATAAATTTTATATTTCACCGGGAAGTCTGAAAATCAAAATTCACTTTCACAACTCGAAATCGGCCACGTTTTCCGTCACCTTTACGCGTTACAATTTACATATGAACTTTCGAATTTCAAACGAATGACCCGATATAAAGTTTGACCGGATATGCACACCAAAAAACTTTCTCTCAAGCATAATCGATCAATTCTCGATCACTTCTCAACGAAAATTGATCAACTCTATCTAAAGCCCAAAACAGAGATCGATGTAGCTATACAACAACCAAATTGGATAGCTACAACTTCAAACTTGTTAGAATGAACAAATAGATAAGTACGCGATTATGAAACATTTGCCTACTAGCATCCTTTGAGCCTTAACTGCTGTAAGAAAAAACGCATATGACAGACGTCATACCTAATACTTTCTGAGATCCAGTGAACACACATCCCACATTCCATTCATCCATTTTGAAAGGCACTCCACCCAAGCTGGCTACAGTGTCCACAATTACAATGCATTTATGCGTCGAAGAGGCAGATGCGATCATCGCTATGTCTTCTTGGACACCAGTGGAACTTTCGCCTTGTGCAACGTATAATAATCTAGGCGACTCAGCCAGTAACACTTTTTCTAAAGATTCTATGCCGATCCCATTGCCTAACTTCCCACTTTCAACGAAACATGGAATTCCTTGAAGCCGTGTCACCATATCGCCACAACGCTCTCCCCATATTCCAGATTTCACAATACAAACTTTGTCTCCGGGCTCGACTAAATTCGTAAGACAACACTCCATTCCAGCATGGCCAGTTCCCGCAAGAGCGAATGTCATTTTATTCAGAGTTTGGAAAAGATACTTCGTTCCAGCCTGAAGTTCATCCATTATTTCCGCAAATTCCTTGTGCATATGACCCAGAAGAGGTAAACTTAAAGCATCACGCACTCTGGAATGCATGTTTGTTGGTCCAGGTCCACAAAGCAGTTTCTTGGGTACAATCAGGCGTCTCTTCAATGAAAGTGGTGCATCAACACACAACAAATCCTTGGCATCGCCCATCTAAGAAAATAACACTACTAGTAAACATTCTACTTCCATGGTCCCCTTCCCATTGCAGAATAAGAACTATACTACTGTGATTACTGTATTTTAGGGTTGAACTATGGAAGGCTATGATGGGAGAAACCCTTAAAAACCTCATAGTAACTTATGATTACAATTTACTCCGATGTGAGACCAGCAGTCGTAAGCCAAAATACAAAAGGAGCGGGCGTAATGTAATGATACCTATTCTCAAAACCTTAAGGTCTAGACTACGCGCAGATTTAAACTTCTCAAAAGTATGACAAAATCTGGGTAGAATTTAATATTAGAAGTGTTCCATCTCCCCAGATGGCAAGGCCGAACCTTCCGACATCAAGTTGAACCCTCGGATTGAGTGGCGAACTCCGTGCGGATCCGAAACCTCCCGAGCAGAGAAAGAGAGAAGGTAGCGACGTTGTGGTGATAAACTTTTGAAATAGTTTCAGAGTAATGCCGAGCAGGTGGGGCAACCTATCACTGGAAAAGGTGGTTCCCCTTCTACGTCCGTTTTGTCGCTAGAGACCCTGGGGGAGCTGCAGTGATAGATTGAACAAGACGAAAACAAAAGGAACAGATATGAACGAAATTTCCCTAATTCTCTCTCTCTCTTTCGCTCTCTCAGCTACAACAACAACAACAGGAGCGGCAACCGTGGTGGCCCAACTATGCAGCTTCAACCGCGAAGAGCAATGACGACTGCCCCCAATGCGGAAAAACAACCGACAATGGAACCTCGTGTATCGGATCTGATGGATGTCAGATATGGAGTCACGCGAGCTGTGTACAGCTTAGTGACAATGATGTGGAAACAATACCAAAAATTGATGCTTGCAAATAGTTTTGTTCTACCTGTTTGACAAAGTTTGATATTACAAAACTATTATCACAGAAGTACAGATGCTCAAGTCGACTGTAGAAAGACATCAAGAAGACATTCAGACCTTGGCGGAGAACTTTAAGCAGTTCCATTCTGTTTTCAAGTCAAAATAGGCAAACGCGATAGCGGAACCACTTAAAAGACAACCGTTTCAAGGGTATAGCTGAAATAACCGCAACGTAACACCATGAACGCAAAAAACTCATCTAGAAACAATATCATCGCTTTTGTCTGACATGGAGTTCAGAGTGCCTCCAGTGAAAGTTTCACGGATTAGGAAAGACACTGACGGCCATGTGCGTCCGGTTATTGTGGAATTTCAAACACTACTTCAAGCAAAATCAGTTATTTGAAAAAGCTATAAAAACCAAATTGTTCCAATCGAAACAAATATTCCTCAGTAGAGCACTGACTGATGATGAAAAAAACTAGAGAAGTAGGTGTTAAAACGAAGGTATGAGTCGATTCAAAGTGGAGTAAATCAAACAACATTACGATTCAATTATATATATATATATATATATATATTCTACAAAATGCCTCTTTTTGCAGGCTTATGATTAGCAAATTTATGAGTCTTACGCGGTCTCCTTCTTTCTGATCTGGCGAGTTCTCCAGTATTTTCTGTTACAGTCTGGATGAAGATGATATGAAGACGGCAAGATTCCACCAGTCTTCATCAGTGGCTTCGATGTACATTTCGGTGATATCCTCGAAATTCAAATGGTGTTTTTTTCTCTCAAATTTCTGTAATAAGTGCAGTCGAACAGAAAATGCACGGCGTTTTCGCGTGTACCACAAATGCAGAAGGGACTATACGTTTTGGCTATTCTCCAGTAGATGATTTTGACCACAGGTCATAGCTGTGATGTCTCTTATCGAACGTCTATCCATTTTCTCTGGTAGAAGAGCGGTCTGGACTCTCATTGGAGGGTATTCTGGGAATGTGAGGGACAATCGTTTGTTCCATCGGTGAAGTTGGAACTTTTTAATGTGTTGGGGTGTACTCCTGTAAACCAGTGTCCTGGCAGAACTTTGCGTGACGGCGTTTCATGATGCATGAGAGCTGACTACTCGAAATGTTCAGTGTCGTCGTGCACGAATCACCTCTTAAAAAGATTTTATGAGCAAATTTGGCTTGTGATGTCTCTATCTGCAGGTCGATTGGAACAATACTGCAAATAACTTCCAGTTTCTCCTCTGCGTGCGGGTATTGAGATGCCGTCGCTTCAAGCAACACTCGGTACCACAAACTGTCGTTTCTAAACCACGAAGATTCCGACCAAATATGAGCAAGATAAGTCCATACTGGAAGAACCGTAGCTTGCAGCAGTTTCATGACGCATGTCGTGTTCAGACCGAATTTTAGAATTGGTTGTATACAGTACCATGCTTTTGTTGCCTTCCGTGTACTCTCTTCAAATTGGGGTTTGAACGTCAGATTCTGATCTATCGTCACTCCCAATGCTGTTGACTGTGTCGCAAACTTGATGAGCTTCCCTTGTAAAACCACCTGGTCCAGGGGTGTACTCCTGTAAACCAGTGTCCTGGCAGAACTTTGCGTGACGGCGTTTCATGATGCATGAGAGCTGACTACTCGAAATGTTCAGTGTCGTCGTGCACGAATCACCTCTTAAAAAGATTTTATGAGCAAATTTGGCTTGTGATGTCTCTATCTGCAGGTCGATTGGAACAATACTGCAAATAACTTCCAGTTTCTCCTCTGCGTGCGGGTATTGAGATGCCGTCGCTTCAAGCAACACTCGGTACCACAAACTGTCGTTTCTAAACCACGAAGATTCCGACCAAATATGAGCAAGATAAGTCCATACTGGAAGAACCGTAGCTTGCAGCAGTTTCATGACGCATGTCGTGTTCAGACCGAATTTTAGAATTGGTTGTATACAGTACCATGCTTTTGTTGCCTTCCGTGTACTCTCTTCAAATTGGGGTTTGAACGTCAGATTCTGATCTATCGTCACTCCCAATGCTGTTGACTGTGTCGCAAACTTGATGAGCTTCCCTTGTAAAACCACCTGGTCCAGCATATTCGTATCCACTGTTGCGCGTCGACCTGGAGTTAAAATTACTACCTCTGTCTTGGATCCTGAAGCCAATAACCTCCATTTCAGCAACTAAGCTGTAATGTGATCACAGTCCGCTTTCAAAGATTTCAATGCAATATCTACTCACACTCCGACATTCACCAATGTTGAGTCGTCTGCATACTTGAATGCCTTCCCTTTGCACTTTGAAAATACGTCTACTGTGTAGAATATGAAAAGCAAGGGCGAAAAAATACTACCATGTGGAAGTCCCACTGTGGCTTTGAACGCGTCAGAGAAGTTTTTTCCATTTTTCAACCGTACTTGTCTAGTACGGACAAAACTGTCTAGTAAGTCATACATTTTTCCATTGACTCCTGCTTTGACGAGTTTGGACATGAGGCCGTCTATCCATATTGAATCAAATGCTTTCTCTAGGTCTATAAATAGAGCTGCGGCGGCTTTGCCTGTTTGTGTGTGAGTTTGAATATAATCCACTAGCTTGTAAAAGTATCTACCCGTACTACGATGACCTCTAAAACCCTCTTGTTCTTCGCCTATTTGATTGGTTTCTTCCAGGTACTTCCTCAGTTTAGTTTCAAGAACTCTTTCAAATATTTTACCGACATACGAGGTTAAAGTGATGGGTCGAAAACTATTGGCAATGGTATAGTCGGTTTTGTGAGGCTTGTGTAGAAATGTTACCATTCCTGCTTTCTAGACCCATTTTCCTGTATCAAAACTGAGCTCGTAGAGCCTGATTAGTGCAGCTCTGAATAGAAATCCCGATTTCTTCAACATAAGGGGGTAGATGATGTCCGGGTCTGCTGATTTATTTGAGACTTTCATTTTCGATATTGCGTTGTCGATTTCGTTCATACTGATGCTTCGGTTCATCTCGTTTTCTTCCACAATTTCATCCGGAGTTATCTGTTCTCTGTGGATATTCTTGCGAACTAATTTCTCCCAGTTCTCGTCAAACTGATGGTCCGATAGATAGCGACCTGAGAAGAAAATTTGAAACAGGTAATCGAATTTCTCACTTTCGTTATGAAGAATTTTACTGTCCTTCATAAGGCATCCCATTGATAGAACCGTTTCTTTGCCGAATATTTTGTTTTCTGATTGCCAAGATGTTGAACCGGAGGAATTGTTCATAGTTGTGGCGCACTTGAAATAATTTTGTCGTGATGTCGGTAACAGCTACTTGAATTCGTCTCGTAGTTCTTTGTATTGAAACGTGCGAATTGGATCGGATCTGAATTTCATATTTCTCTTTGAGGCGCGCAGTTTTTCTGATAAATCTCGCAGTTCTTTTGTGAAATACGGTTTCATATGAGCCGAGGGTCTTCGATTTGGTACACAAACTATTCTAGAGTCCTGAAGAAGCTGAAGCAGTCTATTCCACAACTCACGTGGCTCATCTGTTGAAACGAGTTCTGGCCACTGAGATGCGATATGCGTGTTTAATGTTTGTCGCCAGATCTCCCAGTTGGCTTTCGACCAGTCTGGTGAAGGGTTACCTTCTTTTGATGGACCAAAATTGAATGAGTTCCACAACGGTACATGTCCCCGATTTGGTGCCCCTGTGTAAAATTCCACCTCTGTGTCTGTCGAATACCCTGTTGATCGGTCATTCATCGACTTTGAACACAAAATGTGGTCGATAACGCTTTGGCCTCCTCCAGTGCAGAAAAATGTTGGCTCCCCTTCATGTAGATTAATAGACAGTGCTTCTGTTGGAAAGCAAGCAGATCCTCGCCGTTTGCATTGCAGATTTTGTCTCCCCAAGCAAAATTGAACCAAATGCTTTCTCTAGGTGCTTTCTTACGCATCAAACAGTTTCTACTGAACCAGAACGGGATTATGGTTCCATTGACCAATTACAACCAACCACCAAAGTTCCTCCTGCTGAATGTACGTTCCTTAAAGAAACCAAAATGTGTTAAGTACTTGGCTACTGATGTAGCCATGTACAAAAGAGATATTTGTTGCACAACCGAAACATGGCTTACAAATGGCTATAATGATATGTACAAACATAATTCAGCGAGACAAACTGGTGGAGGCGTCTGTGTTTACTACAGAAATCATTTTGAGGTTTCAAGAATTACGCCGACTGGAATCATGAGTTACTTCTGTCGCATATTCAATTAAGAAATCAGCTTTTTACTAACGGCGTCATTTATTTTCTACCCAACTCTCCCACTGCTAGTCTGCTTGCAACATTCGCCCGGAAGTACATATAGACGGAAAAAAAACATAGGTTGTAAAACGACTGGCTAGCGTCTAAACACAGCTCTACATGCTTTTAACCGTCTCTACCAAAGCCAGTTCTTTGCGTGGTCCTTTCAGCATCGGGTCGACAAAATTGTAACTGTTTTGGGCTTCGGTCAGAACGCTCAGATTAACTTAGTTTTATGCAAAAATAGTGAGCTCACGACTGGATCTGTATCTCCAGACCACGAGGTCACTCCTAAAAACAGGGCTACTACTTATTTATTTTATTACTATTGTTTTTGTAATATAATAAATAAGCACTCATGCTTGTTGTGATAAATACATTAGCCTAATTGTTGTGATAAACTTATTAAATAGATCATATGCGCGCTGGGCTTTCCTCTTCTGGTTATCTTACCAAATCTCGCCGTCCCAGCCGTAGGCGAGTGAAGTTTCCCTGGCGTAACTAGACGCAAGAAGGAGTGATCTGGTGAATCGACCTCCAAATCGACGTCAGGTTGTACCACTCCTTTCTTTTTTTCTCTCTTTTTTTTCTTTTTTTTTCATCGCCTTTGCCTCAGCAATTGTAAACCCTAATTGAAAGTGGTTACATGTCAGTATTTAGACAACCGCGTATTCAGACTGGTCAGTATTTAGACAAAATACCGTTTCAACCAATCAGAATCGAGACAAAGAAGAAATTATTAAATAATTATTATTTATTTCAGATTATTTATGTCTTTTCTCGATTCTGATTGGTTCATACAGTATTTGTCTAAATACTGACGAGTATGAATACGCGGCTGTCTAAATACTGGCTGCACTCCGTGAAAGTAGTCCAGAACTCATAGAAACCACCAGGAAAATATAAACCGAAGTGGTCCACTGGAAACCGGTCTTTATGATCTTGTCAAAAAATAAAGTTGGTTATAACTTTATTGAAACCCTGAATAGAACTTTGAACAGCCTAATAAAAAACAACGAAAATACCTTCGCAATGCACGCAGCAATGATTTTTCCACACTTATTACTGTGCAAAACAAAGTCCAAAATTGATGGATCTTTATCCAAAACATTAGCAAGGCGACTTAAGCAATGGCAAGACGGAGACCTGGATAGAATAAATAACCTAGGAAAGGCGCTGCAAATGCGCGTGCTAAAAGGAAGAAGAAGGAAAACTGAAACTGTAGCACAACAGTTCAAAAAACTAATGAATACTGGAGAAATATCAAGCGCAATTGCAAAACTAACAGACACATCTAAAGGCGTTCTTTTGCTCGACGAGATTGTCAAAGGTAAGACAGTTGAACAAACTCTCTTAGAGAAACACCCACCATCTGAACCAATTAATGAGAACTATATTGCACCAGTCTCACAGGAAACAATTCCTTTCCATCCATCGATATTTCATCAGGTAAACGGTCAACATATCAAGAAGGCAGCCATGAGAACGCACGGATTGCATGGACCATCTGGCCTCGATGCGAATGAATGGAGACGTATTCTAACTCACTTCGGGCAACAATCAGTTGAAATTTCAAAAACAATTGCTAAAATTGCCAAAAAATTGGCCACAGAAGAACTAAATCCAGAACTAATGGAACCATATAACGCATGCAGATTAATACCCTTAGATAAGAATCCAGGGGTAAGACCCATAGGCATAGGAGAAGTTATGCGTAGGATAATAGGGCGAACAATAACTAAATGCAAAAAAAAACGAACTCATATCGCTCGGTTCAAACTACCAACTCTGCCTAGGACAAAAATGTGGCATTGAATATGCGATCCACATGCTAAGAGATCAATTCAGCAAAACTTCCGCCGATGCTGTTTTACTGATAGATGCCGAAAACGCTTTCAACTCGCGGAACCGAAAGCTGGCATTAAAAAACATCGAAAATACCTGCCCTTCCATTTTAACAGCGATTAAGAACTCCTACTCCAATCCATCTGAACTATTCGTTAACAAAAAGCAATCTACTTCAAGAAGGGACAACCCAGGGGGATCCACTAGCAATGGCCATGTACGGTCTAGCCATAATACCCCTCATAAAACTTTTATCAGTAGACGATGTAACCCAGAAATGGTACGAAGACGACGGAAACGCAGTCGGTAAATTAAGCAATCTACGAACCGTCCTCGATAAAATTGTATCACTGGGTAAATTTTTCGGCTACCACGTGAAAGCATCCAAATGCCAACTCATTGTCAAAGATGAAAATCCTCTCAAATACAGGAATCACTAAAAAGTTAGGAGCCCGAGTGCTTGGTTCAGTTATTGGAACAGAATCTGAATGTAAAAAGTTACTCGAATTTCAACAGAATGAGCAAATCAAGATTTTGAAAAAACTAACGAAAATTGCTAAAACCTCCCCTCAAAACGTTTATGCCTGCTATACTAAAGGAGTTCAAAAAAAGCTTTCATTTCTCGCCAGGACAACGCCTAACACTATAGAAAACTTAGAAATATGTGAAAATATTATCAAAGAACAATTATTACCTAACCTAGTCGGTAAAGACACTTTAAACCCCCAGTTCCGTGAGATATCTTCCTTACCCCTTAAAATGGGCGGACTTAACATCAAGCTGCCATCCGATCATGAAAGCTACCTAGAAGGTCTTAGGAAACATCACTGGTACTGGAATCTCAAGATCCTATTACAACAGTAACACAGCAAGAAAAAATATGTACGAAAATCAAAAAAAAATTGAAAACTGATAGAACAAATCGAAAAAAAAAAACAAACCTCATTAACTCCTTAAATGAAACAGATAAATACGCAATCGACCTGGCCTCTGAAAAGGGAGCCTTTAACTGGCTCAATGCTCTACCACTGAGCAGATACAACTTCAACCTGAATAAATCAGAGTTCAGAGATGGTATTTACTTAAGATACGGATGGGAACCAACCAAAACCCCACTCACATGTGCATGTGGTGCTGATTTTAACTTGACACATGCGCTTCACTGTGCAAAGGGTGGTTACACACACATAAGACAGAATGAAATCAGAGACACTTTCGCCAACCTCATGAACGAGGTTTGCCATGACGTCGCGGTTGAGCGGAAACTTCAGCCGTTGCAAGGCTAAAGCTTTGTCAACAATTCAACTACAAGTGAAGATGAGGCACAACTTGACATTAAGGCAAACGGACTCTGTCGTTCACGATTCAGCCGCGCTTTCTTTGATGTGAAAGTTTTCAACCCCCATGCCAAAACATCGGGAAAACTGCATAAGGATGCATACAAATACCACGAAACGCCGAAGAACTCCAAATATCAGCAAAGAATTTTAAACGTAGAGCAGAGTAGCTTCTGCCCGCTAATTTTTGGATGCACCGGTGGCGCTGCTCCAACAGCCACGCGGACGATGCAGCGATTTGCCGAAAAACTAAGTGAAAAAAGACAAGAAAGCTATCCAGAATCTATAAACTACATAAGAACTAAAATAAGCTTCGCGCTTCTGAGGAGCTCTATACTTTGTATAAGGGGGTGCAGATCGCAGCGCAAATTTCAATTTATCGACAACTCCATAAGCGCCATTGTAGGGATGGACGGTCGTCAAAAGGACGGCTAAGATAAATTAACATTTTGACGAAGCATTTAATGCTGATTTATGACTTCATTGCTGATATATATGCATTTTTATATCGCTGGTATGGCCCTATCCAGCTTGTGCACTTACCGTAACTAAACGGAAGGGCCCCTTTTGTAATTTAGTTTTTTTTTAAATTGTTTTTGTTCAGTTGATAAAAATCATCATTCAAATTGGAGATGAATCAACCCTTTCCCTCAACTCCTAGCTTCTCATTATCTGAAAATTAAATTAGGTGTTATTAAATCAATTCAGGACATTCCAGGAAGCTAAGAGTTTGTTAGAATAAAGTTCAAGTTCTCTTCCCGAGACCCTTCCGGATTCTTAAATCCGGACAAAGAACAGTCTTATCTTCTTTCCGGAAGGCTGGTAACGTCGTCCCAACACCATCCTGGTTCTCGGGAGTTGCTTTATAACGATTGTAGCTGCACAATCGTTACAACTTATGGAGTGGTCTTCCATAATTAAATTCAATTGCTATTTCAATTTTTATCGTAGGCTTGTCGTTCACCAAGTCTATTTAAACGAATCTTGTTTTTGGGTTTTTCTAATTTTCAATTGTCGCGATATTTCTAGGTCGTTTTTATTTTGGAACGAATTTTTAGAAATTATTACTTCACGCCAAGCTGACCATTCCCGATTCGTCAAATTGGCAGAATAATACTACTAATCCGCCAAAACCACCAATCTTTCCAGTTCACGGTCACATTAAAAATTCGAAGTCGGCATGATTTTTGACGGCATTCTGTTCGAATGTCCCAGCTTGTTGATCAAGTTTTGGATACTTCGGAGTTCGAACTCAGAAATGGTTAATCAGCTGTTCTGCTTTTCTGAAATTTTTTTCAGAAGCTTTCGGTCATCACATCAACTGTTCCCAGTGACCAAAAAGCCGTTATTTGCGAGCCCAGTTTAATTGTTGCACAGGTTAAACTTAAAGTTTCGTAAAGTCTTAACGTAAAGAAAACACCGCGCAAGACTTGGGCTTGGCATGGACGCCTTTGTAACATTAGCAAGGAAAGTACATAACGACGGAAACAAAAACTATATCCTATAACTACTGGCTGGCATCAAGATAGAGCTTTAAGTGATTTTAACCGTCTCTACCAAATCCAGTTTATAATGTTCCTCATAACACCGGGTCGACGAGTCATTACGGAATATTGGCTCTAAGCCGAGTCGCGCAAAATAACTTAGTTTCGTTCAAATTAGTGAACTCATGGCTGGTCTCTGGTATCCCCTGACCAAGAGGTCACTCCTGAAAACAAAGTAGATACATTATCATTATTAGATTCCCATATTACCATTAGTTCAGTTCAGTTTAGTTTTCTGATCATTCAGGCGTTTTGTCGCCTCTATCGATCAGCTAATGATGTACTCCTTTTCGACTAATTCGTCTCAAAATTATTAATTCCGCTTTACTTCCAATATTTGCCCAGGTTGTTCTTGAAAGCGTTCAAGGACTTCGAGTCAATTACATCTCCTCGCAACATCTTCCAATCTGTAGCTGATCTAATAGTAAAAATAGTTTCTCCGCAATTTTAAGTTGGCCTTCTTCGTTATCACTTTTTGTCATTTGTCTTTGTGTCACAATTGTTCAATTCAATTATGCCTTTTGTAGCTTTTGTGTCCTAACGATCCGAACCTATTTTGAACATTTCGTTCAGTGTTCCTCGTGGGTATTCAAGTGATCGTATAACTAGTTTCTTAACCTTTCATTGTAGCTTCTTAGTGTCTGCAGCCTTGTACCTTTCGTGTCGCTCGTCGTTGCTGATTCTCGATTAATCTTGTGTTCTTCTTTAATTGCGGGTACCAAGCTTCACTTCAGAACTCCAAATGAGGCCTTACGAGGTCTTTGTAAACATTCAAAAACACAGGTATAGTCATTTTATTGAATGTTTTCTTAAAAACTGCAATGATAGACTTGGCCTTTTTAATTTTGCAAAGATATGAGAGTCAAAGGAGAGTTTACTATCGATGATCACTCCAAGGTCTGTTTCTTCTCCCACTGTTTCAAGCTGTTTATCGTAAAGTTGATGTGATCTTATTTCACGATTTGATCTTCCATTTGAGGTTATCATTTGTACACATTTGTCTTCATTAA